AAGGAAAAAAAAGACGACTTTATTCAACAATTCGTCTCCTCCGCATCACTCTGTAGTGCCATTTTGAGTATCAGCTGGATGCAGTGGTGGGCCGTCAGGGCCAGCAAAGCCTTCTCTACTCTGCCTAAACACTATCAGAATCACTGATTTAGTTGTAATATATTTGTCCATGAATGTGTATTAAATTATTTCCAATAGTCTATTCTCTTCATTTCATAGCTTTTCTCTTGGTTGCACTGCTTCCAGCAGTGTACGTTTATATTAGAGCTTTTATCCAATAATATTTCAGCAATCGTGTTGCCAGGGTCAAAGAAATCTGCCTTAAGGCCTTCAGAATCAACAGCGCAGGCGTCTGTTAGCTTAAATCAATGGCAATGAAACCGTTGCTTTAACCAATCAGATTTCGAGTTGGCAACACCAGGGCCATCTAGCTGGCTAACGATAACGTCAGCATTTTCTCGTCCTTTGATTGGATGGTCAGCATACTAGCTAGCAAACAGCATCACTGTAAATCATTTTATTAAAACTTAGTAAAACTTTTATTACTGTTTCTCAGGTTTAGATTTTCAGTGCATTTTGAAAAAATATTTGCCTACTATATTTAGTAAATCTAAAAACAGTAGTCCTAATGACTGCAAAAAACACCCACACACCTCCTCGGCAGCGGCTCTGTGAAAGACTCGTGAAGATGAAAAACCAGAGTATGGTTGCATAATGCGTTGTATGCTGATGTTATTTGCGCGATATAAAGCCAGGTTTAAGTTTCCGTAAGAATATCTCAGTTTCCCGAGTGGAGCTGTATGAACCGCTCTTTTCCTCCGGCTGCAGCGCCGCTGGCAGAGGCAGACCAGCGGGGAGATGAGAGTCACAGAGATACGTTAAAACACATGTATACACTTTTCTTCATCATCTTGGTTTCTATAGCCGTGGCATCATTATGATGGTATGAAGAGATGGACTAATTCATGTAGCACGCCACTGAAGGCCTAGGGGTAAAATGCACGACCCGTCACTGGCTGGATGTAAACAGTGTCATGCCGGATCTGTTTTCTACGTTGTTGTGATTTGATCTGAACGGAAA